GATTTAGGTGTGTTTCTTGTATGCAACAGATTGTTGGGTCTTGTTTACACATTCATTCTGTTAGTCTGTGTCTTTTTATTGGAGAATTGAGTCCATTGATGTTGAGGAAGATTAATGACCAGTGGCTGTTAGATCCTTTGATTTTGATGTTGGCTGTGATAGTGTGTTTGTGTGCTTGGCTGCTTTTTGTTTTGCTGTAGTGAGGTTATTTATTGCCTGTGATGTTTTGAAAGTAGTTAGTTTTCTTGGTTGTATTTTTCCTTCTAGTATCTTCCGTAACGCTGGATTTGTGTGTAGGTATTGTTAAAATTTATTTTTGTCATTGAATATCTTGTTTTCTCCATCTATGAGGACTGAGAGTTTTGCTGGGTACAAAACCTAGGCTTACATCTGTGTTCTCTTAGGGTCTGCATGATATCCATCCAGGCCCTTCTAGCTTTCATAGTTTCTGTTGAGAAGTCAGGTGTGATTCTGATGGGTTTGCCATTATATGTTACTTGGCCTTTTTCCCTTTCAGCTTTTAGTATTTTTTCTTTGTTCTGAATACTTACTGTTTTGATTATTATGTGACAGGAGGATTTTCTTTTCTGGTCTAATTTATTAGGTGTTCTGTAGGCCTTTTGTATTCTTATAGGCCTCCCCTTTAATTTGGGGAAATTTTCTTCAATGATTTTGTTGAAAATATTTTCTGGGCCTTGGAGGAGGGAATCTTATTTTTCCTCTATTCCTATTATTCTTAGATTTTGTCTTTTTATGTTGTCTTGGATTTCTTGGATGATTTGTGTCAGGAATTTTTTTAGATTTATTATTTTCTTTGACGGAGACATCAATTTCTTCCATTGTATCTTCCACACCTGAGATTCTTTCTTCCATCTCTTGTAGTCTGTTGGTTATGCTTACCTCTGTAGTTCTTGTTTTCTTCCCTAAGTTCTTTCTCTCCCCAATTTTCTCCATTTGTGTTTTCTTTAATTCTTCCAATTCTATCTTCAGATCTTGAACCATTTTGTTGATTTCCTTCACCTGCCTGACTGTATTTTCCTGTTTTTCTTCAATTCCTCCAGCTGTTTGTTTGAACATTCCTCTGTTTCTTTTATTTCTTTCAATGATTTAACCATTTCCTCTCTGAACGCCACATACTGTTTGGCTGCATCTTCCTGTATTTCTTTACAGATGACCATAATCTGTTTTATTATATCTTCCCCTAATTTTTTTTTTTTTTACTTCTTCTACCAACCTCTTCATAAGCATAGATGTAAGGTCATCTTCTTGAATTTCACTTATGTTAGGGTGTCCAGGGCTACTTGCCCCTGGATACCTGAGTTCTGGGAATGCCATATGGCTTTGCCTTTTGTGGGTTGTACTTTTATGGTGGCCTTTACCCATCTCTCTGTCTCAGGTGTTGTTTGTTAATTTCTGGTACCTGCTGGGTTCTGGGCCAGGGAGAATCCACTTGGCGGGGTTCTGAAGTTCTCCTCTGCTTTTTGGGTATGATCAACTGAATGGTGGTGCTTCTCAGGAATTGTCACAGTTCACTCCAGGTGTATGGACCTGTATGGTAACTGTGATGTTCAGGAAGGCTCTCCTCTCATCTGGAGAGGTCCTGGTGATGGCTGTCCTGCTGCTGGGTTTCTTGCTCTGAATTTAGTGAGCAGCAGCTGTTGCTCTTAAGAGGTAATTTTTGGGTACAGCTCTCTTGAAGAATCAGGGATTCCCACAGTTTTGTCAGTCTAGCTAGGGATAACTGATCCTTGGCACAGTATCTGAGGGCTGCTGTAATGGCTCTCTGGCTTTTGTAGGTCTTCTGATGCAGCGGTGTGCCCCATTGCCCTAGTGGTACTCAATAATGGTGAGTGAGCACAGCGCTCCTGCCTGCAGTAGAAGGCTAGAGCCTAGGGTCTGTGTGAATCCAAAAAGTCTTTTGGAGCTGGATGTCCTGAGCGTTGGACCTGATGATCCCCCCACTGTGGGGTTTCCTTCGGACAAGGACACTCAGTCTTTGCTTTGGGGACAGCCTTTATGTCTGGGATGGCGAGTAGAACCCGCAGGCACAGACTTACATGGCTCTGCTTTTCTGCCTTTTTGATGATTGGGTGCCTGGGCATCTGCCCAAACTGGGTAACTTTTCCGGAGACCTTTTCAGGGTGGTGGTATCGGCTGAGTGCTCTGAGATCAGACCAGCTGTTCCCCTCCCTGTGGGTTTGCACCTGACAGAGAGTCTTGGTCTCTGGTCCCCTGGGGCCCACAGTTCTATCTGAAGCACCAAATCAGGCACGCAGGCAGGACTCTGTGCTGGCACCTGGGTCCCCGGCTCTGGCTCTGGGCTGGCTCCGGGGACACCAGCGGAACCTGAGTCTTTTCCAGGGGATGTTTGGGTGACCTAAGGTCGGTCCCAATCGTTTCCTGCACCGCATGGTTATCTCTCAACTGGAAATTCCAGTTTCTGATGTTGTGGTGCACACAGTTCAGTCTGGGACAGTGATCAGAGCACTCTGGCATGTGGCTCTGGGCTGGCAATCAAGCACCTAGGATCTCTTCCTCGGTTTAGCTGCTTGAGTTAAAGCTGATTGAATCCCCCACCGTGGGGTATCCTCTCACCTGGGAAACACAATCACTTGTGTTTTATGGCCTCGAGTTCTGACTGCTGGTCACTGTGCCGATCCTGCTGTGCTGCTGGTCAGAATGAGAGTTGTCTCGGCGCTGCCATCTTGCTGAACCCCAAATTACAAGCTTTTGTCTTTTCATGTTTTCTTGAATTTCTTTGATGGTTTGTGTTGAGAATTTTTTAGATTTAACATTTTCTTTGACGTATACAATGGTATCTTCCATTGTATCTTCCACACTTGATTTTCTTTCTTCCATCTCTTGTAGTCTGTTGGTTATGCTTAGCTCTGTTGTTCCTGATTTCCTCTCAAGTTCTTCCTCTCCATGATTTCCTCCATTTGTGTTTTCTTTAATTGTTTCAATTCTCATCAGATCTTGAACCATTTTGTTGATATCCTTCAACTGTTTGACTGTATTTTCCTTCAATTCCTTCATCTGTATGTTTGAACATTGCTCTGTTTCTTTTATTTCTTTCAGTGATTTATTTATTTCCTCTCTGTAGGCCACAAACTGTTGCTACAAATCTTCCTGTATTTATTTACAGATGGCCAGACTCTGTTTGACTTTATCTTCCTCCATTTCTTTAAGGATGGCCCTAATCTGTTTTACTTTATCTTCCTCTATTTCTTCATGCATTTAATTTGTTTACTCCATTCTCCTCTTCATAAGCATAGATGTAAGGTCATCCTTCCAATTTCACTTGTTATAGGGTTTCCAGGGCTACTAGTCCCTGGATACCTGGGTTCTAGAGATGCCGTATTGCTTTGGTTTTTTTTTTTCTGACCTCTACCCATCTCTCTGTCTCAGGTTTTGGCTGTTAGTTTCTGGTGCCTGCTGGAATCCTGGTGTGGGGAGAAGACCCGTGGCAGGAATATGATTGTTCCCATAGAAGGTCTCCTCAGCTTTTTGGGTATGGTCACCAAATGGGTGGTGCTTCTCTGGAATTGCCACAGCTCACCTCAGGTGTATGAACCAGTCTTGAAACTGGTCATTGTTGGTCAAGGAGGCTGTCTTCTTACCAGAAAGAGTCCTGGAGGCAGTTTCCCTGCTGCTGGATTTCTTGCCCGAATTTAGTGAGCTGCTTCTCTTACATTGTGTTTGCTGGTCACAGCCTTCTTGAAGAAATAGGGAGCCACATGGTTTGATTAGTTTGGCTAGGGCAACAGGTTACCACTTGGAATAGTGTCTGGGAGCTGATCCCATGGATCCAACACTTAAGTAGGTCTCAGATTGGAACTCTGTGCCCCAGTTACCAAGTGGTAATCAGTTGCAGGTGAGTGCAGCACTCATGCCACTGTCAGGAGGCTAGAGTCTGGTTCCTGCAAGAACCTAGAAACTTTTCTGGAGCTGGGTGTCCTGAGGTGGGACCTGATATTTCCCCCACCATGATGTTTCCTCCCAATAGGGAGACCCAGTCTGTGTTGTTTTGAGATCCACAGTTCAGTCTGAGATGGTGAGTAGAGCACTCAGGCACCGGCAAGTCTCTCCACACTGGTGGGTTACTGGTGCCTGCAGTGACCCACAAACTTTTCCCGAGAAGTTTTGGTGGGGTGGGGAGTTTGGCAGAGCGCCCTGAATTCGGACATGATGTTTCTTTCACAATGGGGTTTTCTACTAACAGGGTAACACAGTCTCTGGTGCCCTGGGGCCCTAAATTCTGTCTAGACAATGAGTTGGATACGCAGGCAAGTCTCTGGGATGGCTGCTGAGCACCTGCCTGATCCAGGGATCTTTTCTAAAGATTGTATGGATGACCTGAGGTCAGTCTCTATAACTTCCTTCATATCAGAGTTATCTCTCAACTGGAAAGCCCTGTTTCTGGTGTTAGGGATTCCAAAGTTCAGCCTGGGATAGTGATCAGAGCACACAGGCATGTGGCTCTGGGCTGATAATCTAGCGCCTGCTGGGATCCAGGAACTCTTTCAGGGTTTATCTGGGTGACCTGAGAATGGACCCTATAACTTCCCACACTGTGGTGTTTCTTCTAACCTGGGAAACACAATTGCTGGTGTTTTAGGGCCCAGAGTTTACTGTGCTGGATGCTGTGCAGTTACTGCTGCCCTACTCCTCAGACACAGTGTCCTCTTGCTGCAGCCATCTTGGATCCCCTCTGTGTGTATGTTTCAGAGATGTCTCACTGTGTGTACATGTGTGAGTGTAGGGGTGTACATATTACATATCTATTTTTTTAGTGTCCATGTATTTTCATGTTTGTGCCTCTTTTTTCTTCTGAGAGAATTAAACTTATTTGAACACTATGATAATTTTATTTATCCATTTTCCTTCACTGCTATTTCTACACTGGACAACTTCAATAATGTTGCCATCAAGATGCAATCATAACATTTTCTGACTTTAGGTAAGCGTGTATGGATTATAAAATGTTCTCTGTCTTTCAGATGTATTCCATGCTGAAGAAAACCCTCTTCACTAATCCTGTTGGGGACACAGTGAATATGAACCAGAAAAAAAAATGTCAGGCAGAATATGATATTTTCTATATTTGGAATCTCCCATACGATCTTGAACTTAAGTGGAAGATTGGAAAGTTTAGCCCACATTTTCAACAGGGTCAGCAGCTCCGTTTATTAGAAGACATGCTAGAATGGACCACAGGAGGTAGACAGGTGGGTTTGACCTAACTATACTGATTTACATTACATAATAGCAAACACTGTTAAGTGGGTCCATTTTGGCTTTTTTGTGACTTAGTGACATTTTCATGTGAGGAAGCATTTACTAGCCTGTCTGATTATATTGCATTTTTTGATGTGACATTTTATTAATTCTTTGATTTCTGACATGCCTAAGTGTATTTTTACTATATCAAAACAGTGTTATTGTTTAAAATATGAGTATAAAACTAGTTGTGACCACTATTTAAGTGTATTTCCAGTAAAGTGAGCAACATTCTTATGGTACCATTGTGATTACTACACAGTGAGTTCCCTGTCTCCTGCTGGACATCTGACAAAGACACTGAAAAGAGAGAGGCTAATTTTAAGGAAGAAGTAAACATTTGCAAATATTTTTCAAATTTTTTTATTAATTTGTTTACTTTACATCCCCATAAAACCCTCCCTTTTCTCCTCTTCTCTCAGACCCTCCATCTCCCACACACTATAGGCAGTCTTACTGTCCTCTACATCTCCTCAGAAAAGGCTCAGAAAAAATGATGTCTTCAATAGATATCAACCCAATACATCAAGTTGCAATAGGACCAGTCACAACCTCCACAACCATATATATTCAAAGCATACCAACAAAGGCAAACGTATCTAAAGGCAGGCAACAGAGTCATACACAGTTCCTGCTCTTGCTTTTAAAAACCCCACTTAACTCTGTTGGTTTTCTTGTGGCATTCTTATCCCCTTGGGCCCTTCTATCCTCACTTCCACACCCACTCTTTCACAGGACTCCCTTAGCTTAGCATAATACATGGTTGTGAGTCTCAGCATTTGATTCAATAGGCTGCTGGGTGGATCCTCTCAGAGGACAGTTATGCTAGCTCCTGCCTGTAAGCATAGCAGAGTATCCGTAATGGTGTCAGAGGTTGGTGCTCTCCCATGTGGTGAGTCTCTGTTTGTGCCAGGCTTTAGTTGGACATTCTCAGGGACTCTACTCTAGAGAACTTGTAGGCAGGGTCAATTTTAGGTTGAAGGTATTCTAGGTGGATAGTGTTGACCTCCTTGCCACAGGAAGACCAATAGGGTCAATAACCTAGACCAATGGGGAATACAGAGAAGGAAGCACCATCCCAAGAGCAGAGCAGGCATGCACTGGAAACAGATCCACTACACATTTGTACCCAGTGGGCTGTTTGATCTTCATGTGGATTCCCTTTTAAGTTGAGAGGGTGCTCTCTATCACATGGACTCTGTTGCCTGCTTGTGATCACTTCCCCCTATCAGGGCTGCCTACTCTGGCCTCAGTGGATGAAGATGAGCTTAGTCCTAATCAGGCTTGATGGGCTGGGGTGGGTTCCTCTTTTCTGAGATGAGGAGGGATGGGGAGAGGAACAAAGGGAGGGATCAGGATGAGAGAATGGTGGCTATGACTGGGGTATAAAGTAAATATATAAGTTAAAAACAAAATTTTAAAAATCACAAAAATGTCCCACATGAATAGCAAGCTGCATTAATGTTATGTATGTGCAGATAGCCAAGGTCCATCCCATGTATTCTCTCTTTTTCTTGGTTTAGTCTCTGTGTGACACTATGGACACCTGTTAGTTGATTCTGTGTGTTTTCTTGTGGTGTCCTTAACTGCTCTAGCTCCTTCATTCTCCCCCACACTTCTAGAATATTTTGTAAACTCTGCCCAATGTTTGGCTGTGGGTCTCTCTTTTTGTTTCTGTTAGTTGCCTGATGAAACCTCCCAGATGACAGCATGTCAGGCACCTTTCAGGAAGTATACCAGAATAGGATTAAGAGTATCAGGGGTGGCTTCTCTCTCATGGAATGTGCCTCAAGCTGGGCCAGTCATTTGTTGGTCATTCCTTCAATCTCTACTACATTGTTACTGCTGCACATCTTGTTTGCAGGAAAATTTGTTGGTCTAAGGTTTTGTGCTGGACTGGTGTCATAACCTCCATTAGATGGATTTCTAGCCACAGGTGATGGCAACATAAGCTTCCATGCCCTCTATTGCTAAGAGTCCCAACCAGGGTCACCCTCATAGATTCCCAGGAGCCTCCACTGTCCTAAATTTCTAGTTCTTCTTAAAGATGCCACCCCACTGATTGCAGTTCTGTCTACCTGTGCCCCCTCCCTCTGGCCCTCAAAATTGCTCCTGCTCCTTTTCTTATTCCCTCACTCTCATTTTGTTTCCTCTCTTCATCCAAGGCCAATGTCCATGCTATTTCTGTTTCCTAGTGAGATTCAAGAATCCCTTCTCCCTTGATCCTTCCTTGATTCTTAGCTTCTTTGGGTCTGTGGATTTTAACATGGTTATTATTCACTTTACTGCTACTATCAACTTATAGGTAAGCACATATCATGTTTGTTTCCCTGTCTTGGTTACAACATTTAGAATGATCTTTTCTAATAATAATAATAAAATAAAGCAACTATCAATTGATTTCGATATTTGAAAAATGAAAATAAAATAAATAATACTTAAAAAAATTAAGTGCATTTTGAAGGAAACTGCCATTATGAGTTTTCACATAAGTATAAAAACTCTTTGTAAAAGCTTGAATCCCATTCCTCTCTGATATATATTGTTTCTAATTAATACATTAGTTTCATGTAAATATGTTTAAGGCTATACAAGTTGTTTGATGTTCTGAAAACATTATGCTTGACTTTTCAATTGTGTGTCTAGGAATCTTTATGTCTTTATTAAAAGAGTCATCATTTAAAGTAAAGAACAATCTTTTCTGGTTACATCAATTTGCCTGCAAATTTCATAATGTCATTGTCTTAATCCACTTTTCTATTGAGGGACTTCTTAAGTTGTTTCTTGTATCTAGCTAGTACAAATAAAGCTTCTATGAAGAAAGCTGAATAAGTGTCCTTGTGATATTGTGGAATATCTTTTGGATATATGCCCAGGCATGGTACAGAAGGGTCTTGAGGTAGAGCTATTTCTGATTTTATGAGAAATTAGCAAATTGATTTCCAAAGTGGTTGTAAAAGTTTGTACTCTCAAGAGCAATGGAAGAGTGTTCCCCTTGATCTACATCTTTTCCAGCATGTGCTGTCACTAATGATCTTAGCCATTCTGACAGGTATAAGATGAAATCAGAGTCATTTGGATTTGTATTTCCCTCTTGGCTAAATATGCTGAACGTTTCTTATTTGCTTCTCACACATTAGAGATTTCTCAGTTTAGAATTGTCTGTTTAACTCTATGTACATTTTTAATGAAGTTATGTGGTTTGTTGGTGTCTAGTTTCTTGAGTGATTTCTATATTTTGGATATTAGACCTCTGTTGGATGTAGGGTTAGTGAAAATCTTTTATCATTCTCTAAGCTACCATTTTATCCTTTTCATGGTATCCTTCATCTTATGTAAGCATTTAGGTCCCATTTATCATTTGTTAATCTTAGTGCCCGAGCTGTTGGTATTTTATCACCCGTTCCAGGTCACTCCCTAATTTTTCTTCTACTTAGTGAATCTGGTTTTGTGTTGAAATCATTGATACAACTGGATCATTGAATTTTGTGCAGGGTGATAGGCATAGATCTGTTAGCTTTCTTCTTCATACAGACACCAAGGTAGCCCAGCACCATTTGTTGAAGATGCTTTCTATTATCCATTGTATGAATTTGGTTTCTTTGTAAAAAATCAAGTGTCTTTTGATATGCATATTTATTTTTGATTCTTGCATTTGATTTCATTGACAGACCTGTCTTTCTTTGTGATAATACCATGTGGTTTTTGTTACTATTTCTCTGTAGTACAGCTTGATATCAGGAATGGTGATATCTCCAGATGTTCTTGTATTGTTCAGGATTGTTTTTGCTATCCTGTTTTTTTTTTTAATTTTTCCATATAAAGTTGAGGGTTGCTCTTGCAAGGTTGGTGAAGAATTTTGTTGGAATTTTGATGGGAATTGCATTGAATCTGTATATTGCTTTTGGTAAGGTGGCCATTTTTACTATGTTTAATCTACTACAACATGAACATGGGAGATCTTTCCCTCTTCTGTTATTGTCTTCAGTTTCTTTCTACAAAGTCTTGAAGTTATTGTCGTACAAATTTTTCATTTGCCTGGTTGGAATCATACCAAGACATTTTATATAAATTTTAGCTATTGTGAAATGTGTTATTTTTCTAATTTCTTTATCAGCCTGTTTATTGCTTATATAAGGAAGGATTCCCACTATATTTTAGTTAAATTTGTGTCTAACCAAGGTGTCCGAAGGTGTTTATCAGCTGTTGAATTTCTCTGGTAGAATTTCATGGGTCACTTATGTAAACAATCATATCCTCCATGAATAGCCATAATTTGACTTCTTTCTTTCCAATTTGTATCCACTTGATGTCCTTTAGCTTTCTTATTAGTCTAGTTAGAACCTCAAGGACTATATTAAATATATACAGATAATGGGAAGCCTTCTCTTTGTCGGGGAAGCTTTCATGGTATTAGCCTGGTAGCCTGATGATGGACCTTCAACTATCACCGTGGATTCTCCTCTCACCTGAGAAACACAAATGTCATGGTTTTGGGGTCCACAGTATAGCCTGCTGGTCACCCTGCTCCTCACTGCTGAGCTGCTGTTTAGATATCCTGGGTCGTTGGCAACACCATCTTGAATCTCCTTACCTTTTATGTTTCTTTTTTTAATATTAAATTTATTTTTTAATTTGGAAGTTTTTATATTAATTACAATTTATTTACTTTGCATCCCAGCTGTCCCCCTCTCTCATTCTTTCTCAATCTCAACCTCTTTCCCTCATCTCCTCCCATGACTTTCTCCAGGTCCACTGATAGGGAAGATCCTCCTCCCATTCCATATGACCTTAGCCTATCTGGTCCAATGAAGACTGGCTGCATTGTCTTCCTCTGTGGCCTGGGAAGGCTGCTCACCCCTCAGCGGGAGGTGATCAAGAGCCAGCCACTGAATTCATATCAGAGACATTCCCTGTTCCCCTTACTAGAGAATCCACTAGGACTCTGAGCTGCCATGGGTTACATTTGTGCAGGGGTTTTAGGTTATCTCCATGCATGGTCTTCCTTGGAGTATCAGTCTCAGAAAAGACCCCTAGGCCTAGATTTTTTGGTTCTGTTTCTCTCCTTGTGGTGCTCCAGTCTCCACTAGGTCTTTCTCTCTACCCCTTCTTTCATAAGATTTCCTGTACTCTGCCCACTTTGACTATGAGCCTCAGTATGTGCTTTGACACCCTGCTGGGTAGAGTCTTTCAGTGGCCCTCTGGGGTAGGCTCCTGTCTGTCTGTTCCCTATTTTCTCCCTCTTCCGATGTCCATCACATTTGCCTTTATGAATGAGGATTGAGCATCTTACTCGGAGACCTTCTACTAGCTTATCTCCTTTAAGTGTAGAGATTTTAGTATGTTTATCCTATGTTAAGTGTTGAATACACATGTATAAGAGTATTTGCTATGTTTGTTTTTCTGCTTCTAGGATGCCTCACTGAAGATGATCTTTTCTAGATCCCACCATTTGCCTGCAAATTTTATGATTTCCTTGTTTTTAATTGCTGAGTAGTATTCCATTGTTTAAATGTACCACAATTTCTGTATCTGTTCTTCAGTTGAGGGACATCTGGGTTGTTTCCAGGTTCTGGCTATTACAAATGAAGCTGCTATGAACATGGTTGAGCAAATGTCCTTATTGTGTCTTGTGCATATTTTGGATATATGCCTAGGAGTGGTATAGCTGGATCTTGAGGTTGCACTATTCCTAATTGTCTCAGAAAGCACCAGAGTGATTTCACAAGTGGTTGTACATGTTTACATTCCCACCAGCAGTGGAGGAGGGTTTCCCTTTCTCCACATACTCTCCAGCATGTGTTATCACTTGAGTTTTTGGTCTTATCCATTCTGATGGGTGAAATCTCAGGGTCGTTTTTTATTGAAAGTCTATTTTATTAGATATTAGAATGGCTACTCCAGCTTGCTTCCTGGATCCATTTGCTTGGAAATTATTTTTCCAACCCTTTACTCTGAGGAAATATCTATTTTTGTTTCTGAGGTATATTTTTCATATACATCAGAAGGATGGATCCTGTTTTCATATCCATTCTGTAGCCCTTTCCTTTTTACTGGGGAATTGAGCACTCTCATTCTTAGAGATATTAATCACCAATGATTTTTAATTGTGTTATTTTGATGATCATGGTAGTGTGTGTGGTTTTCTTTCTGTGTATAGTAATATGTGCTTCTCTTGTTTTGGTTTTGTTGATGTGTTATTTATTTCCCCTGGTTTCCTATGTGTAGTTAGCTTCCTTGGATTTGAGTTTTTCTTCTAATATCGTCTCGAAGGCTGGATTTGTATACATATATATTGTTCACATTTGTTTTGTTGTTGAATATCTGTTGTTATTAAGATTTTTTTTTCTGCGTGAGATTGTCTGGGCAGATATATGTTCTTTCTTAGACCCTATATGACATATGCCCAGGGCTTTCTGGCTTTTAGAGTCTCTGTTCAGAAGTTGGGTGTAATTCTGATAGGCCGGACTTTATAAGTTACTTAACTGTTTTCCCTTGCAGCTTTTAATATTCTTGTTTTTTCTGTACTTTTAGTGTTTTAATTATGTAATGGGATAATTTTGTAATCCAATAAATTTAGTGTTCTGCAAGTTTTCTGTATGTTTATAAGCATAAGTTTCTTTAGGTTAGGAAAATATTCTATGATTTTGTTGAAAAAAGTCCCTTGCTACTAGTAATGTCTTCTTCTATTTCTATTGCCTTATGCTTGCTCTTTTCATTGTGTTCCCGATTTCTTGGATGTCTTTGTCAGGAACTTCTCAGGTTTATCATTTTCTTTGATCAATTTATATGTTTCTTCTATTTTGTCTTCTAGTCTTAAGATTTTCTCTTCCACCTCTTTTATTGTGTTGGTGATACTTGCATCTGTAGTTCTAGTTTTCTTCCCTGGGTTTTCCATTTCCAGCATTATTTCAGTTTTTGTTTCTTTATTCCTTCTAATTCTATTTTCAGGTCTTGATTTATTGTATTCATTTCCTTCACCTGTTGTATTGTAGTTTTTTGTAGTTCTTTAAGGGATTTATTTATTTCCTCTTTAAATACTTTATCATCATTATGAGATTGAATTTAAGATCATCTTGCGCTTGAGCTGTGTGAAGATATCTAGGGATTATTGTAGTAGGATAGCTGAATGTGGGGGTGCCACGTTACCTTGACTCATTGATTGGGCACTTACGCTGGCTTTTTGCCCTCTCAATGTCATTGGTGCTGGCTGTATGTTCCTGGTGCTGGCAGGACTGAGCTTGAGGGCACATAGAGCTGTGGAACAATGGAACTTATAGACAATACACCGCTCACTGCTGCTTGGTGTACACCAGCTAAAACTGACATGCCAGGAGTTGTCTGGGATGGTCTAACCCATTGTTCTAGGGTCCCTGCAGGTCTCTGAAATGCAGAGACTTAGGCTGAAAATGAAGCCCAGGGAACAGAAGACAGCTGTCTGTTCGTGGCTCTGTACCCAGGAGAACCATGCAGGCCCGGGATTTATGGAGAGGATTCTAACCTGCATGTTTCTGGGGTCAGGCTGCCTTTGCCTCCTTATGGAAGGCAGGCAAAGCTGGAAAACGGAGCTCAAGTAATAAAGCACAGTGCACTGCTGGTGGCTATGGTCCTAATGTGACCCTCTAGGCAGGAAATTAGTAAGGAGAGGTTTAATCTCGATGTTCTTTGAGCCCAGCAGTCCTCCTCTGAAAAGGCAAGCAAAATCATGGGCCATAATGTGAAACTCAGGAGAACGCTTACATCTTACCTATGCTGGGGATGCCACAGGTGGGCCTTTGTGGCATTTTTTTTTTTTTATTTTTTATTTTTATTTTTTTACTATTAATTACACTTTATTCATTTTGTATTCCCCCATAAACCCCTCCCTCCTCCCCTCCCAACCCCACCCTCCCTCCCCCTACCTCATGCATGCCCCTCCCCAAGTACACTGATAGGGGAGGTCCTCTTCTCCTTCCTTCTGATCTTAGTCTATCAGATCACCTCAGGCGTGGCTGCATTGTCATCTTCTGTGGCCTGGTAAGGCTGCTCCCCCCTCAGGGGGAGGTGGTCAAAGAGCAGGCCAATCAGATTATGTCAGAGGCAGTCCCTCTTCACCCTTTACTATGTAACCCACTTGGACACTGAACTATCATGTGCTACATCTGTGCAGGGGTTCTAGGTTATCTCCATGAATAGTCCTTGGTTGGAGTATGAGTCTCTGGGAAGTTCCCTGTGTTCAAGTTTTCTGGTTCTGTTGCTCTCCTTGTGTGGTTCCCGTCCTCTCCAGCTCTTACTATTTCCCACTTCTTACATAAGATTCCATGCACTCTGCCCAACAGTTGGCCATAAGTCTCAGTGTCTGCTTTGATAGTCTGCAGGGTAGAGGCTTTCAGAGGCCCTCTGTGGCAGGCATTTTTATTTTTTAATATAATTTGTTACAATTTATTCACTTTGTATCCTAACTGTAGCCTGACCCTCATCCCCTCCCAATCCTCTCCTCCTTCCCTTCCTCATCTCCTCCCATGGCCCTTCTCAGTCCACCCTAGCCTATCAGGTCTCATCGGCATTGACTTCCTCTGTGGCCTGGCAAGGCTGTTCCCCACTCAGGGAGAGTTGATCAAAGAGCCAGCCACTGAGTTCATGTCAGAGACAGCCACTTTTCCCCTTACTAGAGAGCCCAGTAGGAGACTGAGCTGCCATGGACTACCTCTGTGCAGGGGTTCTAGGTTATTTCAATGAATGGACCTTTGTTGGAGTATCAGTCTCAGAAAAGACACCTAGGCCCAGATATTTAGGTTCTGTTGTTCCACTTGTGGAGCTCCAGAACCTTCCAAGTCTTTCTCTGAACTCTGCCCAAAGTTTGGCTATGAGTCTCACTATGTGCTTTAATACCCTACTAGATAGAGTCTTTCAGAGGGCCTTTGTGGTAGGCTCCTGATTTGTCCCTTGTTTCCACCTTCTTCCAATGTCTGTCCCAATGTCTGGGTTATGGGGGTGGAACTGGGAGCAGAGGAGGGAGGGGCCTTGGATCAGGCTGTAAAGTGATTAAAGAAATAAATAAATGAAACAAACATAGACCATGATGAAACACTGTTTACAGGCTTGCTCTGCAAGATTCCTCATACAACACTGCCTGAGACAGCACTGTCCACACTGACCTGAATAATCCTACATCAATTAGGAATTAATTAATAAACTCTTCACTGATGTGACAACAACCCATCAGTTACAGAGAAATTTGTTGCTTCATGGTCCTTATGCTTTTTTACTATACTTGGTGCCAAGTTGATGAAAATAACTAGAAAAGCCAGGTTATAAGTTCTGCGGTGCTTGCACAAAACAAAACACCAGTACTTCTCCATAATTTCATGGAGTTTGGAGACAACTCACATTTTCAGTAATCCACATCTATATATTCAAATAAGGTCAATTTGTGTATATAAAATAAGCTAATTGATATCTCAACATTCTGATATGTTATAGTTATGGAAGGAGTATGTTTAACTCTTGATGTCATCATGTGTCTATTTTTCCAGATGCCAGTCTCTGTTTGCAGTGCTGATTGTGGTCCTGGATTCAGAAAATTCTGGCAGCAAGGAATGCCACCCTGCTGTTTTGATTGCAGCCCCTGCCCAGAAAATGAAATCTCTAATGACACAAGTGAGTGTTTGATGCAAGATTAAACTTTCACATTGATCATAATTTTCCACACATAGTGTAATTCTGAAGGTGTCTAAAAGGCAACTGCATATAAAATATATCACTTTCCTAAGTTAGTCCTTATAAGAATATGATCATAAAAAGTCCTTGTAAGTAATTCCTTATGCCTTGACATATATATTTGAATTATTGTAGATTTATTTCAGAGAGCATTTTATCAAAAAGTTTTAATAATCACAATTGAGTGTTAAGAAATTGTATGCATTATTACTCTTAGTGATTTATCTCCTCTATTGCTACAATCAGATTGGATTTCATACATGATTCTTTATAAATATTTATTTTTCATTTTGCATACATAAGTAGATGTAAATGTGTGTGTGTGTGTGTGTGTGTGTGTGTGTGTGTGTGTGTGTGTGTATTTCATGCAGGAGCCCATGAAGAATGGAAGAGGGCATCAGATCTGCAAGACTCTGTCATGTTGATGCTGAGAATCAAATCCAAGTCCTCTATAAGATTAGTGAAGAGAACAAATAGTTACTTGTAAAATTAGCAGAAACTTCTAAGAATAAAAAGGAAGCTTCATTCAATTCTAGAGAGCTTTATTTCAGAGGGTTAATTTGATTTGAGTTCTAGAAATATAAAAATAAGTGTTGACAAAGAAAATCTGAGGAGTCCTCTATTCAATATCCTTATCTACTTCACCCAGCTAACAATGCCACAGTGTAAAAGATTCAAATGGGTTTGTACTCAAAGCAAGAAGTCACGGCCATTGAAATGGTATTGTCATGTACGCACCCATATTAGGCAAAGGATTATTTGTTTATAATTGGTTATTGCAATGGCCCAGATAGATTTTCACTTCTATTACATGTCATCCTGTAGAAGGACACAGGGGCATTCATGGCCAGTGAGAGGGCTCAACACTTAAAACCCTTTCTTTTAAAGCTGATGACCTGAGTTCATCACAAGGACCTACGTAGTGGGAGGAAGTACCCAGTTCCTTGTAGTTGTCTTCTGACATCCACGTACTCCTACATACAACAGATTAAAAAGTAATTAAACAAAGTGTAATGAAATTTTTAAATGTAAAAACAAATGAACATATTTATTTTTTGCAGGTTTTTTTGTTTTGTTTTGTTTTGTTTTTTTGCTAAGGGTTATTTATATAGTATTCTGCCTTCAGGTGCGACTGCAGGCCAGAAGCAAGCACCAAAGACAATGCTCTTAACCTCTGAGTCATCTCTCCAGCCCTATTTTTGCAGTTTTAAGCATTATTATTATATATTTTTCCTATAAATTAATATGTATTATTATATTTATTTATTATATTTATATAACTTTCACCTCTCACTCTCAGCCTCTCCTTCCCCAATCACTCTCAAATTTATTAGCTCTTTTGTTACTTTTACATGAAATCACATAAACACACACACACAACCTACTGATTCCATTTAATGTTGCTTCTATATCAATGTGTTTGAGCTGGAGAAATTGAACTAGAAAATGTATCGCAGGTCTTGTCTTAGCATAAGAAGTTTCCATTTCTCATGAAAATAGCATTCTTACAAGAGATAGACTTCAGGAGGCACTGAATCCATAGAATCTATTATTTTAAAATTTCACTGAATAATTTTAGCTTCTGTGAATTCACCTGTGTCAGCCATTTAATCATATCATCAAGAATGTAGTAAAACTTGTGTGTGTCCCTACAACATGATAAATTACCTCATCACACACAATTGAACAAAGATATGATTGTTTGATTTCATTCTCCAAAAAGATAATGAGAATTAGCAAATGAAAAAATTGCTCTGCAGTGTTGTCTTTCAATTACACCCTCAGCAACACAAGGCAGATATTTCACGGCTTCTCAATCAGACTTATTGAAAATGTCCTGTCAACACAATGCTCAAGGTGCACTAATCTCCATTCTCCATCAGATTTGGATCAGTGTGTGAAGTGTCCAGAGGACCGATATGCCAACCCAGAGCAGAACCAGTGCATTCAGAAAGCTGTGGTCTTTTTAGGCTATGAAGAACCCTTGGGTATGGCTCTGGCCATAATGTCCTTGTGCTTCTCTGTATTCACTGCTATAGTTCTTGGAGTCTTTGTGAAACACCATGCTACTCCCATTGTAAAGGTCAATAACCGCACTCTCAGCTACATCTTGCTCATCTCACTCATCTTTTGTTTCCTATGCTCCTTGCTCTTCATTGGCCATCCAAACTCAGTCACCTGCATCCTGCAGCAAATCACATTTGGAGTTGTATTCACTGTGGCTGTTTCCAGTGTGTTGGCCAAAACTATTACTGTGGTTCTGGCTTTCAAACTCACAGTACCTGAAAGAAAGATGAAGTACATCCTGGTTTCAGGGACACCTAACTACATCATTCCCATCTGTACTCTCATCCAAATGATTCTCTGTGCAATCTGGTTGGGAGTTGCTCCTCCCTCCATTGACATTGATGCACACTCTGAGCATGGCCGTATCATCATAGTGTGCAACAAGGGCTCAGTTATTGCATTCTACGGCGTCCTGGGATACCATGGCTCCCTTGCCTTAGGAACGTTCACTCTGGCTTTCTTGGCCAGGAAACTACCTGATACATTCAATGAATCCAAGTACTTGACATTCAGCATGCTGTTGTTCTGCACTGCGTGGGTCACCTTTCTCCCTGTATATCACAGCACCAAGGGAAAGGTCATGGTGACTGTAGAGATCTTCTCCATTTTGGCTTCCAGTGCAGGGCTGCTGGGATGCATCTTCATCCCCAAGTGCTATGTAATTTTGTTAAGACCAGAGAGAAATTCTTTTAAAAACTTAAGGAAGAAAACATCATCCTGAAATCACATTACATAATTATGACTGACAAATATAATGTTAATACAGAACCACTTATTAAGATACAGTGCAAGACATATGTGTTAGATAGTGACTTTTTTTTCTAGTGAGGATGCATAGCAGTGTCATGGATACTACTTTTCTGTACATTGTCTTCTATAATCATCTATACATCCACTTAGTTTTCAAGACCCAGCTCTTAAGCATTACGACATAGTGATAATGTTCTTTATTTTGCTGTTTAGTAAGAGATAAAAACGAATTCAGAAATTTTTTGGTATGTGTGCAAATTTGTCATGAATTAAGTGCTGAGAGAAATCATAGAACATTTGTGGGAAGAGTGAGTGAGCATTTGCAGATGAATGTGAAAACAATATTCCCTCTTTCAGGGGGAAGATTAGAGTATCCTGAAGCATCCTGGGAGGTGGAGGAATAAAACCTACTAAGTGGTGGGATGGCTTGTGAAAGATTAGAAACAGTATTGCAGAAGACAGACAGATGTCTCAGCAGTTAAGATCATGTGCTGCTTTTGCAGAGGACCTGTGTTCAGTATCCAGCCCCCACATCCTGTAATTAAGATTGTATTGTAACAATAGTACCAAGGAAAAGATGCCCTCTTCTGCTTTACAATAAATGCTCAAGGAAATACAAGCTCGGTGTTACAGATTACTTCAGTAAAAATATGAAGAGATTTTCTTAGTTATTTGGGGTATAAAATCAGTCAACAAAAAATTCAATAACTAAAGCTACAAATCCGTAGGAACCAAATGAAAAATTTTCAAAATTAATAGAAGGTATTACCTGGCTGAGGCCTAAATTGGATTGAGTACCTATGAGTTAAATTAATTGGTTTCAGATGCAAGATGGCTGCACCCAGAGGACACTGTGTCTGAGGAGCAGGACAGCAGTGTCAGCATAGCAACCAAGAGACTGAACTCTGGACCCTAAAACACCAGCCATTGTGTTTTCCAGGTGAGAGGAAAACTGGTGTGAGAATCAATTGGGTCCATTCTCAGGTCACCGAGTTAAACCCCGGAAGAGTTCCTGGTCCTGGCAGGCCCTCAGAAGCCAGCCCAGAGTCACATGCCTGTGTGCCCAGATCACCTTCCCAGGCCGAACTGTGGTCACCACAACAACAGAGACTGGGATTTCAGGTTGTAATAAAACCCTACAGTGAAGGAAGCAAATGGGATCGACCTCAGGTCACCCATTCAATCCAGGATGAGGTCTTGGTGACTGGCAGGTGCACAGCTGCCAGCCCTTAGCACATTACTCAACCACCAACTCAGATACCTGCTGTGTGACAGATTCATCATCCCAGACAGACCTGTGAGCCCCAGGGCACCAGAGACTGGGTTTCCCTGTTTGGAGAGAGAGCAGGTCTGACCTTAGAGCACTCAGCCAACCCCCCCCACCCCACACACAGACATGGAAAAGTTCTCAGGAAAAGTTCTTGGGTTCCTACAGGTGCCCAGTCACCAGCTTGGAGCCACCAGTAGTCTACACCTGTGTGCTCTACGCATCACCCCAGACAGACTGTGGACCCCAAAACACCACAGACTGGGTCTCCCTGTTGGAATGAAATGCCACAGTGGGGGGGAAACATCTGTTCTGACCCCAGGACACCCAGCCCTGGAAATGTTTCTGGGTCCCTGCAGGCTCTAGGCTCTAGCCTCCTACTGCAAACATGAGAGCTGTGCTTACCTGCCACTAATTACCGCTTGGGTGTTGGAGCACAGAGCTCCAATCTCAGACCTGCAGAAGCCTGGAATCCCTGAGATTAGCCTCCAGACACTGCTCCAAAGGGCAACCATTTATTCATAACTAAACTGACCAAACCACGTGACACCATGGAATAAAGCTGGCCCTCAGCAACAACAGAAATAGCAAAAAGCCTACACACACATGGAAACTGAACAACTTGCTACTAAATGACAGCTGGGTCAGGGAAGAAATAAAGAAATTAAAGTCTTCCTAGAATTGACTGAAAATGAAGGCACAAAATACCGAAACTTGTGGGAAACAATGAAAGCAGTGCTAAGAAGAAAGTTCATAGCACTAAGTGCCTTTCAAGAAGAAATTTGAGACAGCTCATTCAAGCAACTTAATGGCTCACCTAAAAACCCTAGAAAAAGAAGAAGCAGACAAACCAAAAAGGAATAGATGGCTGGAAATAATCAAACTCAGGGCTGAAATCAATCAATTAGAAACAAATAAAACAATTCAAAAACTCAATGAAACCAAGAGCTGGTTCTTTGAGAAAATCAACAAGATAGACAAACCCTTAGCCAAACTAACTAAAAGGCAGAGAGATAACATCCAAATCAACAAAATCAGAAATGAAAAGGGGGACATAACTATAGACACTGAGGAAATTCAAACAATCATTAGGACTTACTTCAAAGCCTATATGCCACAAAATTTGAAAATCTAAATGAAATGGACAATTTTTTGGATCGATTCCATTTACCAAAGCTGAATCACGACCAGGTAAATCAATTAAATAGTCCTATATCCCCTAAAGAAATAGAAGCAGTCATAAAAGTCTCCCATGCAAAAAAAAAAAAAAAAAAGGGCCAGGACCAGATGGTTTCAGCGCAGAATTCTACCAGACTTTCAAAGAAGGACTAACTCCAGTTCTCTTCAAACTATTCCACAAAATAGAAACAGAAGGAACACTACCAAATTCATTTTATGAAGCCACAGTCACCTTGGTACCTAAACCTCACAAAGAACCAACAATGAAAGAAAATTCCAGGCCAATCTCCCCTATAAACATTGATGCAAAAATATTCAACAAAATACTTGCAAACTGAATCCAAGAACAGATTAAAGATATCATCCACTATGAGCAAGTAGGCTTCATCCCAGATATGCAGGGGTGTTTCAGTATACAGAAATCCATCAATGTGATCCACCATATTAACAAACTGAAAGAAAAAAAACACATGATAATCTCCTTAGATGCTGAAAAAGAATTTGACAAAATCCAACATCCATTCATGTTTAAAGTATTGGAGAGATCAGGGATACAAGGCACATATCTAAACATAATAAAGGCAATATACAGCAAGCCTATAGCCAACATCAAACTAAATGGAGAAAAACTTAAAGCAATCCCACTGAAATCAGGGACAAGACAAGGCTGCCCACTCTCCATATCTCTTCAACATAGTTCTGGAAGTTTTTGCTAGAGCAATAAGACACTTGAAAAAGATTAAGGGGATACAAATTGGAAAGGAAGAAGTCAAATTATCACTATTTTCAGATGATATGATAGTATACGTGAGTGACCCCAAAAACTCTACCAGGGAACTCCTACAGCTGATAAACACCTTCAGCAAAGTGGCCAGATACAAAATTAACTCAAAAAAATCAGTAGCCCTCCTGTATGCAAAGGACAAAAGGGCTCAGAAAGAAATTAGAGAAACAACACCCTTCACAATAGCCACAAATGACATGAAGTACCTTGGTGTAACCCTAACCAAGCAAGTCAAAGATTTGTATGAAAAATATTTCAAGTCTCTGAGGAAAGAATTAGAAGAAGATATCAGAAGATGGAAAGATCTCCCATGCTCATGGCTTGGAAGGATTAACATAGTAAAAATGACCATTTTACCAAAAGCAATCTACAGATTCATTGCAATTCCCATCAAATTACCAACACAATTCTTTACGGACCTGGAAAGAAAAATTCTCAACTTCATATGGAATAACAAGAAACCCAGAATTGCTAAAAGTTTCCTCTACAATAAAAGATCTTCTGGAGGTATCTCCATCCCTGATCTCAAGCTGTACTATAGAGCAACAATAATAAAAACTGCATGGTATTAGCATAGAAACAGAATGGTGGATCAATGGAACTGAACAGAAGACCCAGAAATAAACCCACACACTTATGGACACCTGATCTTTGACAAAGATGCCAAAGCCATACAATGGAAAAAAGACAGCATCTTCAACAAATGGTGCTGGTCCAACTGGATGTCTACATGTAGAAAAATGAAAATAGATCCATACTTATCACCCTGCAGAAACCTAAAGTCTGAGTGGATCAAAACCCTCAGCATAAAACCAGACACATTAAATCCGTTACATAGAAAAAGTGGGGAACAGCCTGGAACTCATTGGCACAGGAGACTACTTCCTGAACAGAACACCAATAGCATAGGCTCTAAGAGCAACAATCAATAAATGGAACCTCATGAAACTGAAAAGCTTCTATAAAGCAAAAGACACCATCAAAACAAAACTACTGCCTACAGATTGGGAAAGCCTCTTCATCAACCCTTTATCTGAGAGAGGGCTATTATCCAGTATATATAAAGAACTAAAGAAGCTGAAAAACAGAAAACCAAATAATCCAATTAAAAAATGGGGAACAGAGCTAAACAGAGAATTCTCAATAGAGGAATATAGAATGGCAGAGAAACACTTAAAGAAATGCTCAACCTCATTAGCCATTAGGGAAATGCAAATCAAAACGACCCTGAGATTTCACCTTACACCCATCAGAATGGCCAAGATCAAAAATTCAAGTGAGAATACATGTTGGAGAGGTGTGGAGAAAGCGAACCCTCCTCCACTGCTGATGGGAATGTAAACTTGTACAACCACTCTGGAAATCAATCTGGTGCTTTCTCAGACAACTAGGAATAGTGCTTCCTCAAGATCCAGCTATACCACTCCTAGGCATATATCCAAAAGAGGCTCAAGTACATAATAAGGACATTTGCTCAACCATGTTTGTAGCAGCTTTCTTTGTAATAGCCAGAAGCTGAAAACAACCCAATTGCCCCTCAGCTGAAGAATGGATGCAGAAATTGTGGTACATCTGAATATTAGTCAGCAATGAAAAACAAGGAAATCATGAAATTTGCACGTAAATGGTGGCAACTGGAAAGGATCACCCTGAGTGAGCTATCCCAGAAGCAGAATGTCACACACAGTATATACTTACTCATATAGACATATAATATAAGATAAGCCTACTACAATCTGTA